TTTTTTCTTCAGAAACCCTAGTTTGAAAATCAAATGATTTTAAAAGAAAAAATTGGGAAAAACCTGTGAAATAGCGAATATAGCACAGATATAGCATATATCTAAGAGAAAACAAACAGAAAAACCTCGAATAGTTTTTAGGTTTCTCTGAAACCCTAGAAATGATAAGGCTTGGAAAGGGTCTGGTCTCGAACAGATCTGAGCCATAGCTAGGCTCTTAAAGCTTGAACACGCCGGAACACGGTCGAAGAGGCCATAGAACCACAGATCTGTGGAAGATCTGCTCGAACACCATCGAGGTCGGACCTCGGAATAGCTCTAACAACCAAGGCCTGAGGGAAAGGAAGGTGAGCACAGGACGTCCATGGCCTGAGAAGCCATGGACACCGATGAGATTGATCGGAGAAGACGAGGGAGGCGATTAGGGTTTCGAGTGCTAGGGAGCATTTGAGAGAAGGAGAGAGTTTGGGGGCGGCTGTCTGAGAGAAATGAGGGTTACGGTTAGGTCGTTTGGAATTAAAAAGGAAAGGGTTATTTGTGGTCGTTGATCAAAAGGATCAACGGCCTGGATTTAAAGGGATCCCGGGCGGGTTTAGTTTAATAGGTCAGGGGTTGGGTTAAATTGGAATTGGGCTGGCCCAATTGGGCATTAGGATTGGGGCCAATTGGGTTTAAGATTAGAATGAAATTGAGGCTATAATTGAAATGAAATGTGGCCAAAATTGAAATAGCCAGTTTTTCCCCTGTTATTTTATAAAAATAGTGAAAATGATTTTAAAAGAAAATTGAAGATGCTGAACCAATTAATAATACATATATATTAATTTAAAAATATTAGAACTAATTTTACAATTATAAAACACTATTAATCGTAAAATAGGCTATAATTGCATTTATATGCAATTAGCTTTAAAAATACCAAGCAAATTTGTAAAAATATACAAAAAATTACCTTAATTATATTTGGTGTAAATATGAGAATAAAATAAGTTATTCACAAATGATAATTTTGGGAATAGTTATTGGATTTTGTACTGTTAAAATAGACAATAAATTGATTTAAAATAAGGAAAAATACCAAAAACTCTTGGGAATGCTTATATATGCATGTATATGCTATTTTGAGGATATTTTGAGTACATAAAAATACTTAGGGAAAAATTGGGTATCAACAAGTACAACCGACTCCATGTACTGGTAAGTGCCGAGCCTAACCTCAGCGAAGTAGTGATGAGGCTAGGACAAGACACATACATAAACCTGTGCAGTTAAACAATATGCTAACAGAAATAACAATTAACAGAAGATAAGCAGATATTAACGGGAGGGAAAACATTCTAAAGGGTACCTAAATAAAGAATCACAGTAATAGAGGAATTTAAACAGCTACTACACTTTGAACCGGTAATAACAAGTAAACACAACAAACAGAAAATGCACGACATCACCCTTCGTACTTTTACTCTCAACTCACCAGATAATCAATAATAGAAACGTGCACGACATCACCCTTCGTGCTTTACCACTCAACCTCACCATGTGAATGATAGAAATGTGCACGGCATCACTCTTCGTGCTTTATCACTCTTCCTTACCACATAAATAATTGAAATATGCACGGCATCACCCTTCGTACTTTATCACTCTACCTCACCCAAACAGAGACAACAACAATAGAGAGATAGAAATCGCAACAACAAGTCTTACTTCAACGCTTAGTTCCATAGTACCAATCTCAAATTTGGGTAAAAACCCCATCAATACCAAATTTTATAAAACATGATAAGAAATTTCTCAACACATCGATTAACTAGTCTACACATTAACAATATGATCAAAAATATAACATTTCCAAGAATAAAGCTCACTCACATGTTATGACTCGATAAAAACGTATAGATACTCGTCACCTCACCTATATGTCGTACTAACCATCCAAACACGTAGCAAATAAGCAAATAACACATAATCCCTCAAACTAAGGTTAGCCACAACACTTACCTCACTCCTTCGACCAAACTCAAGGCTCAATCATCATTTTTCCCTTCACACAAGCCTCCGGACCAATAGAATCTAGCAAATTATCAACCAAACAATTCAATTTAAGTCTTAGGAACTACCCATGATAGCAAGGAACTCAATTTAGGCCATTTTTAAAAAAGTCAACAAAAGTCAACACCCGGGCCCACTTGGTCCAAATCCGAAATTCAGACCATAATCCGATTACCCATTCACCTCCGAGCCCAATTATACAATTGGTTTTGGAATCCGACCTCAATTTGAGGTCTAAATCCCCAAATTTTGAAATCCCTAGCTTCTACCCAAAAATCCCCAATTCCACCATGAAAATTCTAGATTCTAGGTTGAAATCTTGTTATATGAAGTGAAAGATTGAAAGAAATGAGTTAAGAATCATTTACCTATGATTTGGGAAAGAAATGGCCTTTGGAAAATCGCCTCTTGAGGTTTAGGTTTTGAAAATTTTGGAAATGAATCAAAAGTCCCGTCTAAGTCCCTTTTACACAGCTGCAGATGTCGCAATTGCGACCTAAGCTTCGCAATTGCAAAGCTAGCAAATTCGAAGGGACCATCGCAAATGCGAGGTCCTTCACATCCCTGCTGCCTTCGCAGTTGCGAAGGTAAGTTCGCGATTGTGAACATGAACCTCCGCAAATGCGACAAAATGATCGCATTTGCGATCACTGCCCCTCCCAGCTTTACTTCGCAAATGGGAAGAAATCTTCGCAATTGCGAAGACTGTATGGCCCAGCTTCTAATCGCAATTGCGATAAAAGCCTCGCAAAATGCGGAACCTGCAAGGTTCGCAATTGCGATGCCTGATCTCGCATATGCAAGATCAGAGGCCTGCAACAAGTTCAGTCATACCAGCAGAATTTCCTAAGTTCCAAAATACCCCGTAGCCTATCCGAAACGCACCCGAGCCCTCGGGGGTGGGGACTCCAAACCAAACATGCACACAAGTGTTAAAACATCATACGAACTTGCTCGTGTGATCAAATCGCTAAAATAACATCTAAAACTACGAATTTAACACCAAAGCACATAAAATTCTTAAGAACACTTTGAAATTCCTATTTTCACAACTGGACGCCCGAATCACGTCAAATCAACTCTGTTTTTCACCAAAATTCACAGACATGACATAAATATTATATTGAACATGTACCGAGCTCCGGAACCAAAATACAGGCATGATATCAATGAGATCAAACATTAATCAAATTCTTTAAACCATTAGATTTTCAGTCTTACAATTTTCATCAAAAATCCATTACTCGGGCTAGGGACCTCCGAATCCGATTCCGGGCATACGCCCGGGTCCCATATTTTACTACGCATCTTCAGTGACCGTCAAAACACGGGTTCGGGTCCGTTTACTCAAAATGTTGACCGAAGTCAACTAAAATCAACTTTTTAGGCCAAAAATTATTATTTCATCAATTTTCCACATAAAAACTTTCCGAAAATACGCCCGAAGCGCACGCAAATCGAGAAGGGATATAATGAGGTTTTGAAGGCCTCGAAACACGGAATCGAGTTCTATAACATAAGATGACCTTTTGAGTCATCACATATGTGCACATATAGCTCGAGCCAAAAGCAATGAGTTCAATTGAATCTAACATCCTAGATCTCTCCGACTCCAAATAGTTAGTCCTATGACAGCAACAATTACCGCCACCAGCAGCCATGGAAGTGTTTATTTTTTCGGTTTCCCACTTCTATTAGGTACCTATTTTGGGGCCCTATTAATCCAGATTCGAGTGGGGAAGTCTTGCACTTCGGGAGTAAAGCGCTACTACCAAAGGTGATTCAATCTCTAAGGCTCAAAATTGGGATCTTTGGTTAACATGAAAGCGATGTTTACTCAAGCTTAATAGTACTTCGTGCAGTAATGATTTTGAATCACTCTGTACTCACTGGACAAAGGGACGATTACGGTCGATTTGTATAATTATTGAACAATCCAAGTACAGTAAGGCGCTAATAAAAAAATAAATCAAGACATAGAGGTATTCAATTATCTAATATCGGAGTGGGAAAATGAAGAAAAGTGAAAAAAAGCTTCCGTTACCGGGAATCGAACCCGGGTCTCCTGGGTGAAAGCCTGATATCCTAACCGCTGGACGATAACGGATTGTTGCTGTATCTGTAACAAAGAAAACTATATATTTCAAAGCTGCTGGTTTCAGTCATTTCCATTGCTCATTTGACATTTCAGCAGTGGCGAAAACATGATATCATCCAACACTGCTTCGTTGAAAAACTTACAAACAAATGAGTATGCAAATAATATTTTAAAAATTTAGAATATGAGTTTTTCTATGTATATGAAATAGATCCATACCATTTCAAAATAAAATAAAGTAAATATCATTTGGAACAACAGAAAAAAAAAAATCAATTTGGAACAGGAAGTGTAGACCCTCAACAGCCCCACACTCAAATTTAGACGCAGTTGAGTTGAGATAATAGACGGAAATCACTTATGCAAAATCATATGTATGCCACTATGAATGAGATGCTAGTTAAAAAAAGAAATGATGAGCTCATTGTGATTGTTTCACTATACTACTTGCTTGAATTATGAAATTGATGTCCTATTCCATTATGACATCTTGAAGGAGCTACCATTTGATATAGAATCGTTAAATTGCGAAATTGCAACTTTGATAAGAAGCTTGCTTTAATCTATAAATGAATTGTTCTATTTTGTAAACTTCAGTATGATCATCTAACAGGGATGCCAAGTTAAGAGCAGAAAAACTGGATGTGCACAAATAGTTTATTGGCACCGATGATGAAATTACATGATCGGGGTATTATAACAAACAAACGAAAAACAAGAGTATCAATTATGCCTCAATTCCAAGTAAATTGAATTCAAATGTATGTATCTTCACTATTCATATCGCTCCATTTAAACCTATTAGACTCCAATAACATTAAAGGAATTATTTGAAGGAAGAGACAAAGTTTAGAAAACGAAGCTCCTAATAAGCATTGTGTATTTAAGTTAAGCTTTCAGTTGAAAATACATTGCAACTCGCACACTAATCAATGAGGTATGTAGTCAAACGTCTCTATAACAGTCTCATTCGTTCAAAATTTTTTGGCTGCTATAGTGAATTGTTGTTATAGATAACATATATTATGACATAACAGAAAGAAGTTTGACTATATTTTTTACTCATTAACAGGTTACCTCTTGTGACAAGGGAATCAGGAGAAGCAGATCTAAAAGTATTATCTACTGGGAGGCAATCTATTGAATATTATTAACAGCAACTCAAGGTAGCCAATATCCAATTTGCTGGTCCAGTTCATCTTCCCCAACTCTAATATTTGTCAATGGATGCTGATGTAGAAACAGTTAGATCATCAAACTTGAGGAACAGCAAATTTTCCAACTCTTGGAGATAGAATGGACTGCACATCCACTATGGTCAAAATCTTGGGTACAGACATGCCTCCAGAGATAACAATTTCTGCAACATTTAAAAGTAAAGTTGGCCACATCATATATCATCCTGAGAAACAATTGAACTGTTTGGTATGACATAAGTTATTTTCTGAGAAAATATTTTTTACGAGAAAGTCATGTTCTGGTGTTTATTAAAGGGTAGTCCGGTGCATAAAGCATCCCACATTCACGCACGGTCAGGGGAAGGGCCGCACCCTAAAGGGTTTTGATGTAAACAGCCTACCCTAACGCAAGAATTAGTGGTTGCTTCCACGACTCGAACCAGCGACCTATAGGTCACATATAGCCAACTTTATTATTGCTCCAAGGCTCACCTTCTATTTTCTGGTGTTTGGTTATTAGAAAATATTTACTACATGGGCAGAAGTCAGTTTGCTTATAATTTACCATTACTTTTAACTAACATTTTTTGGAAAATGTTTCCAAAAAATAGTTTTGAATGGAAAATATCATCAACAATAATAACAAACACAATGATATCTCATAAGTGACGTCCGGACAGAATAGTGTGTATGCAGATCTTACATATTTAAGAAATTATTTTGCATGAAAAATGACTTCAGTTCTACCAAACAGAGTTAAACTCTTACCTATCCCCTCCCTAACAGAGAGATTGGGCCTCATAATGTCCTTAGAATTGACAAGGAATATATCTCCAAGGTAAAGGTGATTAGTAGGCACATAAACACAGCAAACTTCCTCTGCACCTGTACTTTTACGAAGAATAATAGTTGAAGTAATGAAGCCAAATGCATATTCCCCAATGCGTGGATGCCTTATAATAGCCACTTCTTTAAAGGCATGTGAATCCTCATCTGAAACAATTTATTTACTGCATTCTGTTTAATATAATTTGGAATGTTACATAGTCAACTTTCAATTAAAAAAATTGGTTTAATTACCTGGTGAAATTGCTCGACTAATTTGTTTTGAAGCAGTGTAGATATAACTCATGAGTGGCATTTTTTTGATGAACCATTCTCCTAAACTAAGAAGAGAAGAACCTAACCATGAGGACATGGACACCCCAACCAAGAATATGAAAATTAAGGAGGTCAAAAATCCAAGACCTGTGAATTGTTAGAGATAGTAATGAGATATACTGTACTTGCCATTAAAAAAAGTCAAACTATTCAAGTATTCAACAGAAGTATGGCTAGGGTAACTCGGTGTACAAAGCATCCCACATTCATGCAGGGTTTCGGGGAAGGGTAGCATCCCAGGGATGTGATGTAAACAGCCTACCCTAATGCAAGCATTAGCGGCTGCTTTCACGGCTCGAATCCGTAACCTAAAGGTCATATGAAGACAACTTTATCGTTGCTCCAAAGCTCCCCTTCAACTTTACCCGTGACCTATAGGTCAATAGAACTATTTTTCCTCAAAACAAGCTAAGTACTTCATTCGTTCAAATTTATGTATCACTATTTTCTTATTAGTCTGTCCCGAAAAGAATGATATTGAAATAACTTAATTTTAAACTTCATGTTTTACGGTTAATAAGAAATTTTTTATAGCTAACAAATATTATGACATGTTTAAGATTTTAAATATCTTTCTTTTCTTTTTTAAACTATAAGTCAAAATATATTTTGTGTACGTGCGCAAAAAGAAAAGGAAAGTAGTACTGACCAAATACATCAATTCCAAGATGAATAAAGATTGGAGAAAAGAAGCCATCCACAAAATTAATGAGCTTCCAAGTGAGGTAGAAGGTTATGGCTATGGGAAATAAGATGACACTGCAAAACCATATTAGAATCAAGTCAATAACCAAAATGGACACTATTTTTAAGAGTTTATATTTCTATTCATGAAAGAACTTAAACATTAAGTCAATAATACAGCATTTGTGACATTAACTGACTTATTTCCCATTTATGGTGGTAAAAATTATGTTCATGTTTCAAGAATGAAAACCTGTACAATATTCCATCAGTGTGGAGAAGAGGAGATGAAAGAGACCAGAGAGTTCACATTATAATATGTAGCGTACCTCATTTTACCTATCCTAACGCTATTTAATTATTTCACCTAACACAATCCTTGTCTAACATGCTCCTACCTAAATCCCACACACCAGGGACGGAGCTAGCATTCGGTTACGGGTTCGGCCTAACCCAGTAGCTTTAGTCCAAATTATGTATTTGTCTTAAGAAATCTTTAAATATATACAAATTATTAATTTAAAACTCATTATCTTAAAGGACTAGAATCTCGAACCCAAAAACTTCAAATTATAACTCCGCCTCTGCCACACATAATTTGCTAATTTCCAAATGTTGTAGTACTTGCTATGAATAGTAAGAAAACAAAAGAATGTTTCTTCACTTGCAACATCTACAAAGTAATACATTATGCAACTATGCACAAACAAAACAAAACCAAAAAAAAAAAAAGAGAGAGAGAGAAAAAGGATTTAAGGAATTAAAGAGATTTTTTTAGCTGAATTAGTGAACTAACCATCCGCTAATAAATTTTTTTGAAATCCAGCTATGAATTACTTTGCCAAATGCCTGCCAAGAAAAACAAATTAGGGGAAAATTAAACAGGAAAAAAAAAACTTAATGGAAATGCAGGGTCCCATGCATATCATACCAATCCATGATTAACACTTATAATCGTACAACACATAATTACAGTAGCTTACTATTTTCGATAGAATTAGATATACATTTTAGAATCACTAGCTTAACTCAAAATTCACAACGTCTAAATTCTGAATCCGCATTCGAAAGGGTGAGAGAGAAGAGAGAGATAAAGAGACCTCTTTGCCGGAGGGATGAGAAAGGGACGAGGAAGCTGAGGGAGATTCAGAAGACGATTTGGAGCCGTTGATCTCTAAGGCTAAGGTCCCCACCGGAATCAGACGTTCCAGATCTCTATCCTTCTCTGATCTCATCGTTCCCATCTCCGGTAGTTGGGACTGTTGATAGAATCATAGAAATGCTGAGTATAAGAAAAATTATTATTATTATTATTGCATATATCGTGCTAATAAAAAAAAATAGAAGGAAATAATTCATATCGGAAATTGGAAACTTTGAAAATTTAAATAATTGACACTAACCGTCTAACCCTCATGCAGTTTGAGATATTAATTGGTTTCCTTTTGGGCTAGTTAATTCTTTTGTAATGCAATTTATAAAGGGATTTTTCCATTCCTATACACTATTTGAAACTTTATTATCCTTAATGTTCATGTTTAGTTAATTACCCGGCATAAACAAGTTTTGTTTTCAAAATATATACAATCCACCTTAAAATGCTCCCAATCTATTATTTGTGTCTTCAATCAATGTATGTAGTTACACCCTTTTCCTTTTTTTTCTCCTCCTCTCTTTCCTTATGTTTCCACTCATATGTTTTCTCACAAATCTTCTGATTTTTCAATCTCCTCGGTCATCTATGTCTTCATACGCTACACTAAAACTATTTGGAGTACAACTCTGACCGGCATCGTCGAGTAGTACAGACCCGCCGCATCCCTACACAACATAAACATTTTAAAAGAAAAAATAAGCAATCAGATTGTCTATGTACTTATGTTAGTGCATAGTAAATTAAAAGAGTTCATATTTTACATTAACAATACAGTCATGGAAGTGCAAGCGCAAAAGAGAGGCCGCCATTCTGGTTTCATTAGAAATAGCAGACCAGGTGCCATATCTAACAATTTTAGTGAGGTTGGGACATGTGGCATCGTAATATTTGTAATCAAGTTGCCCATACACAAAAGAACTGAGAAACAAGAAGCAAAACAAAGAGTTAGTTAAAGGCATACGGCTTTTCGTGTTCATGATTGCAGATGCAGTAAATAGTACTACTCTTTTTTTGTATGTTATTGTAGTAATACCCGAAATTATCAGTAAGTACTAGAGATTTCTCATTCGTTGTTAACCCGGTTTCAACTACTCGGTCAGCTTTACTTTTTTCCCGTTTGTTTTGCTTTTCGGTGCACTGTTGAGTAGTGCCAAGCACTCCCCCTTTCAAGTTCCTTTTTGATTTCTCATATCTTGAGTCTTAACTTGATTTGTTTATTTTACATATAATGAAGAGAAAATGAGATCCTACAAGTCAAATTATAGGACATAGAAGTTGAGATACAGATAATCAGTTCTTGGACTTTGAGCCTTTAAAAATCATAAACTGGTATGAACATGTCAATGGGTAGTAATTGAATATTAAAGAATTACTGTAAGTCGAAATCTCCAGTTGGGTATGAACATGTCAATCGATAGTAATGGAATATTCAGTTGTCAGTTTGTTAACATATTATGAATTCGTTTATAAGCACACAATTTATTCATGGGAATTTTTTCGTACACTATCCAGTTAAACACAACTACAATAACATACAACTTAAATACAAAATTTATACAATATGTCTTTTGTATATTTTGTATCTGATTTATACATGTAAAGACAAATTTCATATAACTAATTATATATTATACAATTTATCTACAACTTTCACACATTATTTCTACCCAGTTAAATACAACTACAATAACATACAACTTAAATACAAAATTTATACAATATGTCTTTTGTATATTTTGTATCTGATTTATACATAGTAAAAATAAATTTCATACAACTAATTATATATTATACAACTTATCTATAGTTTTCATACATTATTTCTACTCAGTTATATACAACTACAATATCATACAACTTAAGTATAATTTTTATACAATGTTGTTCAACTTTCATACAATAGTTAAATAAATAAAAGAAAAATATATAAACAATAGAATATAATTTTTCTACAATTTTTCTATAATTTTACTACAATTTCGTAAATATAATGTATATCGTGTCTTCTTCTTCTTCTTCGAGTTTCAATCTGAAATTCAGCCAAAACCAAGTCTAATCTTCACCAAAACCCGTCAAAATTGAGATATAAACTCCAAATCATATTCCCAATTGTTTGCAACAACACGCAATCCAAACAAATAATGATTTGTGAAAATCCAAATTCGAATTCAAAGCTTCAAAGCTTTTTAATTGTGACGACCCGGCCCGTCGTCACGTGAGTTACCGCCCCGCTTTCCCCATTTTCTGCTTCTTCATGCTTAATTATAAGAATCTTGTGTGAACGGGTTGATTTGGATTGGTTTTAGAGAGAAATGAGACACTTAGTCTCTTTAGGGAAGGTTTGGTTTGGAAAAGTCAACCGGATGTTGACCTATGAGTTAGAGGGCTCGGATGTGAATTCCGATAATTTGGTTAGCTTTTGGGGGATGATTTGTGACTTAGGAGCGCGATCAAAAGTGATTTTGGAGGTCCGGTGTAGAATTAGGCTTGAATTGGCGAAGTTAGTATTTTGGCGAATTCCGGTTGATAGGTGAGATTTTGATCCGAGGGTCAAAATGGGATTCCGAGAGTTGTTGTAGCTTCGTTAGGTGATTTGGGATGTGTACGCAAAATTTCAGGTCATTCAGAGGTGTTTTGGTCGGGTTTTTGATCGAATGCGTATTTCGGAAGTTTTAGAAGAACTTAGGCTTGAATCCGATGTAATTTGATGGTTTTGGTGTTGTTTGTGGTGTTTTGATGATTGTAGCAAGTTTAAATGGTGTTTTAGGATGGATTGGCACGTTTGGTTGAGGTCCCGGGGGCCTCGGGGTGATTTCGGATGGCCATCGGGATGAAATTTGGACTTATGAGATTGCTGGTGAGCCTGGTTTCTGGTATTTCCGCATCTGCGGAAAAGGAACCGCAGATGCGGTTGCGCAAGAAAGGTGCGCAGGTGCGAGTTCTTGGAAGGTTTGCTATTTCTGCAGGTGCGGGCTTGGGGCCGTATCTGCGATGCGGCAGATGCGGTAGATGAGTCGCAGAAGTGAATTGGCGTGGCCTTGGTATTTCCGCAGAAGCGGACAGGTATCCGCAGAATCGGGATCCGCAAATGCGGAGAGATGACCGCAGAAGCGGTCGTGGACTTAATTAAGATCCGCGGAAGCGGAGGTATAACCGCAGAAGCGCTAGCCGCAAATGCGGTAAAGGAACCGCAGATGCGAAAATCACTGTTGAGAGAAGGGTTTTAAAACTCATTTTGTTCCGCGAGCTTAAGTTCATTTCCACCATTTTTGATCGACCTTGAGAGCTCTTGGACGGAAATTGAAGGGGATTTCGACTAGGTGTGATTAGAGGTGAGTTCCTTGACCTAAATACGTGATTTAATGGTAGAATTAACGTGGAAATTTGTGGAAATTCATCAAAAGAGGGTAAAGCTAGGGCTTGGGAATTTGGTATTTCAAAGTGGAATTTGAGGGGTCAAATGGACTCCGATTTTGGTAATTTTGATATGTATAGACTCGTGGCGAGATAAGGAATCCGGTGATGTTAATTTTTTGATTTTTCGAGAAGTTAGCCCATGACTCGGGTTTTGCCAATTTCATGAATTTCGATGTTTTTCGAGTCTTTTCGATTGGGTTATATTCCCTTGGCCTATTGTAACGTATTTGTTGTGGTTTTGGCCAGATTCAACGCGCGAGGAGGTTGATTTGCGAGGCAAGGGCATAGCGAGCTAGGATTTTGGCCGGCTTGAGGTGAGTAATGATAGTAAATGATATCCTGAGGGTTTGGAACCCCGGATTTGCACAACGTAGTGCCATATTGAGGTGAAACACGCGCTTAATGGCGAGCGCGGGGTTGTTTAATACTGGGGATTGTGACTTGGTCCGTCCCGTTTGATATTTTACCGCGTATTTGACTGGCTGATTTGTTTATCATCGTGATTTGGGCTTATTGCCATGTTTTGGGCTTAATCCGATTACTTGAATCCTTCGGGGATTGTTATCACTACTTCCTCACTATTTTGATACGTTATTTGAACTCAGTCCTAATAATTATACTGTTNTATTAATTTAAAAATATTAGAACTAATTTTACAATTATAAAACACTATTAATCGTAAAATAGGCTATAATTGCCTTTATATGCAATTAGCTTTAAAAATACCAAACAAATTTGTAAAAATATACAAAAAATTACCTTAATTATATTTGGTGTAAATATGAGAATAAAATAAGTTATTCACAAAAATGATAATTTTGGGAATAATTATTGGATTTTGTACTGTTAAAATAGACAATAAATTGATTTAAAATAAGGAAAAATACCAAAACTCTTTGGAATGCTTATATATGCATGTATATGCTTTTTTGAGGATATTTTCAGTACATAAAAATACTTAGGGAAAAGTTGGGTATCAACAGCTGCCCCTCTTTACCCGGGAAGGATGAAAGAGTTGTCGGGTAAAGATATGATGGCCAATTTTGACCGGAAGTGGCGATTTTCAAAGAATTTGACCGAGCTCTGGTTTCTGAGCTGCCTACATATCCCTGGTTTTACAGGAATCAGGCCGTATGTAGTTCAGGAACCATTGACGGAACAAGCTGATGGAGATTCGAAAGGACGGACGCGGTGCTTTTGGAGAGGCAAGAGGTATTTGGGAAGCTGATCAGTTGCGAGAACCGGAGCGGGACCGCTCCTGCTGAGACGGCCATTGTTAGCCGGTGTACTTGCCAGTGAGCAATATAGGCGTATATTGTGCATAAACTAAAACATGATGCAAGTTCCCGTCGGACCATGAATGTTGTCCTCGGACGGTTAGGATGACGTCCTCGGACCATGATGTCCTGGGCCATGAAGCGCAAAATTAAAGGATTCGCAGGCTATGAAATGACGTTCTCGGGCCATGATGATGGTGCCTCCGAACCATGATGCCTTTGAATAATGATGTGCAAGATATAAAGTGGGGTCCTCGGGCCATGGCATGGTGTTCTCGGGCTATGCAGATGATGCCTCCGAACGATGACATCTTTGGACAATTTGACGATATTTCAGCCCATGAAATGCAAGGTTTGGCGGTATTTCAGCCCATGAAATGCAAGGTTTGGCAGTATTTCAGCCGATGCAAAAACGTAAATGGTGATGTTTCAGCCGA